AAGTTGGATGGACAGCACGAGATAGCACAGGATGAACCTCCAAAAAAAAGGAAGACTAATGCACAGTACCAGAGGGAATACCGGCAGCGCATCAAACAAAATCGTACTCTCTATAAATTACATTGCGCATCTGAAAACTTGAGGGTCAAAGAGTATCTTTCAAATTTAACAGAGGAGAAAAAAGCTCAATATCGCGAGACAACCCGACTTCGTGTCCGAAAATTTCGTCAGAGAAATGCAGCAGTGCCAAATTCAAGTAAAGCGAAGAAGGCAGCAGCACCCAAAACTCGTCTTGCAAAAGAAGCACAGAGAAGCAAATGGAGAAGACAGAAACAGAATCAAAGAGCAAAGCAAACAGCACAGGCAAAGCGGATGACCAATGAAAAACGCAGGGCAAAGTATGCCGAAAAGAAGAAAAGGACATCCTCCATCAAATCAACACCACCATTAACACACTCGTCAGAGGCACAACAGATACCTGTATCAATCTCTAGTGGTAGTTTTCGCAAGGCTGTGTACCGTGCCAAGCAAGCAATGCCGAAAAACAGTAGACAGTATACAGAAGTGTTGACAAGATTAATTCACAAAGCTACTCCAAAGAAAAAACAGCAACTAAAAGAGAAAGGAATTAGCGCTAGTCCAAGATCAAGAAGATTTCTGCAGTTCGCCAAAGAGTCGTGTGGGAACATCAAAGACGCAGTGTTGGGTATCAACAAGCAAAGAAATACGTCTTCCTTGCACAGGAAACGGGTATTAGCAGCAGCCCTGTCCGTGAAGCGGAAATACATCCATGGATACAGGCGGCATCTGAGAAAACATCTTGGACTTGGATTAAACCAAACATGCTGCTAGGGTCGATGATGTCCGTCAATTGGATACAAGGAAAAGGAGGAGTGATGCACTCCCAACAGGTGTAGTTGATAGGGTGATTGAGTTTTATGGAAGAGGAGACATCTCAAGAGATCTGCCTGATGCGACCCTTCCTAACAACCCGAGCAGGTAATACAATTGTCTGTGGAAATGTTGATTCCTAGTAGGAAAAGACAGTACATTTATTTAACCCACGCTGATGTGGCCCCAGGCTCTTCTACAAATCAAGCCACTGCTGGTTATGTTAAAAAATTGTTCTATTTAAATTTTATTTTTCTTCTATCTTATTTCAGAAGCCAGAAAGGAGAAAAAGATTCAATGGTTGGATCAGATGATGCAGACCTTCCTGAAAACGCCAGCAGGTAATGTAATAGACCCCTGTACTGATGACACCAAGGTTTGTTTACGAGTGCCTTTCTATGGGACACAAACTCCGCTGTCACAGGTTCCTACCATACTGAAGCACACTCATAAACTAATGGGAATTTTGATCATCATTAGA